TTAAATGTAAATGGACTAAATGCTCCAATCAAAAGACATAGGGTAGCTGAATGGATAAAAAATATTATATATTTATATATATTATATATATATATATACTGTCTACAAGAGACCCTCAGAACAAAAGATTCACACAGACTAAAAGTGAATGGATGGGAAAAAATATTCCATGCAAATGGAACAGAAAAAGACTGGAGTAGCAATACTTATATCTGACAAAATAGACTTCAAAATAAAGGCCATAACAAGAGACAAATAAGAGCATTACTAAACGGATCAATCTAACAAGAGAATATAACCCTTGTTAACATATATGCACCCAATACAGGAGCACCAAAGTATATTAAAAAACTCTTGATGGACTTTAAGGGAGAGATCAATAGCAACACAGTCATAGTAGGGGATATTAAGACCCCACTGACATCACTGGTCAGATCTTTAAGCCAAAAATTCAGTAAGAAACAGTGGTCTTAAATGACACACTAGATCAGCTGGACCTAATTGATACTTACAGGACATTCCATCCAAAAGTGGCAGAGTGTACATTATTTTCAAGTGCACATGGATCATTCTCGAAGATAGCCCATATGTTAGGACACAAAATAAGCTTTAATAAATTCAAGATTGAAATCATATCAAGCATCTTCTCAGATCACAATGGCATGAAACAAGAAATCAATTACACTAAAAAAAAAAAAAAACTCAAAAACATTCAAACACATGGAGCCTAACAGCTTGTTATTAACCAATGAATGGATTACCAATGAAATCAAGGCAGAAATCAAAAACTTCCTGGAAACAAACAATAATGAACACACAAACAACCCAAAATCTGTGGGACACAGTGAAAGCAGTCCTGAGAAGGAAGTTCATAGCATTACAGGACTACCTCAAAAAAAAACTCAAATAAACTATCTAACCCTACAACTAAAAGAATTAGAAAGAGAACAACAAGAAAAGTCCAGAGTAAGTAAAAGGAACAACTTAATAAAAATCAGAGTGGAAATAAATGACATAAAGGCTAAAAAAAAACAACACAAAAGATCAATGAAACCAAGAGCTGGTTCTTTGAAAAGATAAACAAGATTGGTTACCTTTAGCCAGACTTACAAGAAACAAAGAGAGAGGACCCAAATTAATAAAATCAGAAATGAAACAGGTGAGGTAACAACTGATATCACAGAAATACAAAGGATTATAAGAAAATACTTTGAACAAAATGGCTAAACAAAAGAATGAATATTCAACCTCCCTGAGAGATAACAAATGAGTGTGATTCCATTGTATATAAACAGAGTTTTAAAATAATTATAAAAATCCATTGATGTTGTGAATACACAGGAAAAAAATACTCAGATACAGGGAGTTGGAGGGAGTCTAAATTGGTATAACCTTTCAATAAATCAATATGGATAAAAATCTTTAAAAAGTCCAACCCTTTGACTAAGTAGTTTGTCTTATAGGGATTTATTCAAAGGTGTATTAGTTTCCTATAGCTGCTGTCACAAATCAATACAAACTTGGTCACTTAAAAACAACAGAAATTTGCCCTGGCCAGTTTGGCCTAGTGGTTAGAGTACTGGCCTACAGACTGAAGGATTGTGGATTCGATTCCAGTCAAGGGCATGTATTGGGTTATTGGTTCCATCCCTGGCCCCCAGTTGGGATAGTGTGGTAGGCAACCAGTTGTTGTCTCTCTCACATGGATGTTTTTCTCTCTCTCCCTCCCTCCCACTATCTCTAAAAATCAATGGAAAAATATCCTCGGGTGAGGATTAACAACAACAAAAACAATAGAAATGCATTCTCTCACAGTTCTGGAGGCCAGAAGTCCAAATCAAGATGTCAGAAGGGCCATGCTCCCTCAAGGGGCCCTGGGTGAGATTCTGTTCCTGACCTCACCCAGTTTCTGGTGGCTGCCAGCACTCCTTGGCTTGAAGCCACATCACTGCAATCTCCACTGCCTTCTCCTCTACTGTGAGTCTCATCTCCCTCTGCCTCTCCCTTATAAGGATACATAGGATGGCATTTAGGGCCCACCTCCATATTCCAGGATCATTTCATTTGAAGATCCTTAACTTAATATCTGCAAAGACTCCTTTTCCAAATAAAGTAAAATTCACAGCTTCCAGGGATTTGACATGCATACCTCTTATGGGCAGAGAAAGGGAAGCATATTTTTCAACTGACCACAGAAGGTAATAATAAAATAACTGCCTATGGATATTATTGCAGCATTATATATAATTTGAAAAAAATTTAAAAACAGAGGAAATAATCTACATGTTTCATAGCAGGGTATTGGTTAAACAAATGAAGGTACATCAATATAGTGGATTAATATACAGTCATTAAAAATAACACTGATGCAAATCACTCCAGTTATCTATTGCTGCATTAAAAAGTCACCCAAAATTTAGTGGCATACAGTAAAGATTATTGCAGGTAAGAACTAATGGATGCTAAAAGTAGTGGGTGAAAATTTGAGAAGAAACAGGGCATTTACATAGTCTTAAAGTATCTCCCCAAAGATATTTATTCATTTCAAAAGGAAAAACAATAACTTTATAGTGGAGAAAGCCAGGTGGCACCACCTTAACCAATTTTTCAAGGTTAACATCACCAGTAATAAGATACAACAACATCAGGTACCCCAAGTGTGACTGAGAAGAACATACCACTTCTGGGGTATTCTTTACTAAAATGCATAACCTCCATCTAATCAAGAGAAAACATCAGACAAACTGAAATTAAAAGATATTTTATAACATAACTGACCAATACTCTCCAAACATGTCAAGATCATGAAAGACAAGGAAAGATTGAGGAACTACCACAGACTGCAGAAGACTAGAGAGACAGGACACTAAATGCAACATGGAGTCCTAGATCGGATACTAGAAAATGAAAAGGACATTAGTGGAAAGACTGATGAATTTTAAGAAGGTCTCTAGTTTAAGTAACAGTGTTAATTTCTTAGTTTTAACATTGTACTATGGTAATACAAGATGCTAACATTAGCAGAACCTGGGTGAGGAATATAATGGAACACTATGTATTATTTTGTAACTTTTCTGTAAGTTTTAAATTATTTCAAAATAAAAAGGTTTTTAAAAAAACAATACAGAGGCATAAAACATGACCATTTTACTTTGCTCATGATTCTGTGGGTCAGCAATTTGAGGGACACCACAGGGACAATTTGTCTCTGTTCCATCATGAATGGGGCCTCAGATAGGGTGGCTGCATTTGGCTAGAGATATCTGGAGAGCAATGTACCCAGGGCCACATGTCAACCCTTGGCTATTCTCTAAATGGTCTTTGCTAGGGAGGAAATGAATTGTCCAAAGTTGTTCCTTTATTCACATGTCTGGTGCCTGCACTAAGATAGCTGGAATAGTCAGTGTGTTCATTTCCTAGAGTTGCTGTAACAAATTACTATGGGCTGGGTGGCTGAAAATAACTAAAATTTATTCTCTCACAGTTGTGGAAGGTAGACATCTGAAATCAAGGTGCTGGCAGGCCACGCTCCCTCTGAAGTCACTGGAAAAGAATCCTTTCTTGCCTCTTCCTAGCTTCCAGTGGCTCTGGAATCCTTGGTGTTCCTTGGTTTGTAGTTACATTATTCCAATCTCTGCCTCTATCTTCACATGGCCTTCTTCCCTGTGTCATTGTTTCTCTGTGCCCTTCTTATAAGGACACCAATTACTGTATTTAGGGCCCACTCTAATTTAGTATGACTTCATCTTAACTAATTACATATGCAGAGATCCTATTTCCAAATGAGGTCCCATTCTGAGGTTGCAAGTGGACATGAATCTTAGTAGGACACTGTTGATCTCACTACAGGCGGAAACTAGCCAGCATCATTTTCTCTCTGCATGGAGACAGACCCAAGCAGCTTCTGAGCTCTCAATGCTAGGTCTGGAAAGGAACAAACCTGAAGGAATTTCATCCACATCAAAGTTCATGCTAAAGACCTGCAGTAGCCTGGATCAGGTTCTTGGTATTCTAAAATGTTTAGACATTCATTTTGTAAAAAACAAGTGGATTCCAGGATTCTCAGGAAAATCAGAGGCTCCTGCTTGGAGCCAGTCTAATGCCCAAGCAATATTAGATGACCACTTATGTGAGTGATGTAGGTTAAAGGATTTCAAAAGTGGCCCGGCCAGTGTGTCTCAGTGGATTAAGCATCGTTCCAAGGACTGAGAGGTCCCGGCTCGATTCCCAGTCAGGGCACATGCCCAGGTTGCGGGTTCGATCCCCAGTGTGGGGCATGCAGGAGGCAGTGATCAATGTATCCCTCTCACATCAATGTTTCTATCTCTCACTCCCTCTCCCTTCCTCTGTCTCTAAAAATCAATAAAAATAAACTTTTTAAAAAGAATTTCAAAAGTGTCCTGCCAAAAAATACCAACTGCTTCCCAGTCCCTAAAATGTTCACCACTACATAAGTAGGTTAAGTAGCTTATATGACTCTATAATAGTTCTGTATAAGAAGAAAAATAAGAAGAGAACAAAAAGGAAGATGAGGAGGAGGAGAGGAATGACAAATATACATACAGACAAGAGGGGAAGTAAAAACATCTGTGCAAAACTAATTCGCTGGTCTCAAAAAGGCAGGACTTTGAGAGAATAGGAAGTAGAACAAGTTAGTAATGGATTTTTATGAAAAGGTTGCAGAGGCCTGAGTAAGATACCTGGTGAGAATCCTACACCATCAGGGGACTATCTCCATAAACTGGTGTCTAGAGGTTAATGAGACACACAGGGAGTAAAGGCAAAGACATACTTTGTCTATTTCCCTATTGTTCACTGCCTTGCCCCCCTCACCCTTGAGCATACCTAAACTCAAGGTAGTTCCTACCTAATGTGATCATTTCCTCTAGAAAAAGAGTTAAACTCACAAAGAAAAAGAAATAATAACTGAATTGGAAATTTTACCTTAAACAAATATTCTATAACTGAAATAAAAATAAAGATGAATCCATTTTACCCACCAACAGTTTCTTCTGATGTAGTAGACAAAGCTAAAAACTTTTTTGTATTTTCTATTTCTTCATTACTTGGCAAAGCTTCACTATTTTCTGCAGACTAATGAAAGAGAAATGAAAGTTTAAATATGAGAAAAGAAAGCAACACTGATATTTTGTTAAATTTCCACATGGTTTCCAATCATGTACACACAAACAAGAAGACTCAGGTCATTTTTATTCCTTTAATTAGGAAATCTATGAATGTTTCCTGTCCCCACAAAATTCTGTCAACAAGTATTCCCAAATAGAGTAAGAATATATGTCTAGCCCTGGCCGGTTTGGCACAGCAGTTAGAGCGTTGGCCTGCGGCCCAGAGACACCTGGGTTCGGTTCCCGCTAGGGGCATGTACCTCGGTTGCGGTTTGTCCCCGGCCCTGGTTAGTCGTGCAGGTGGCAGCCACTCGATGTGTCCCTTTCACGTTGATGTTTCTCTCTCTCTGTCTCTCTCTCTTTCTGTTCCTCTCTCTCCCTCCCACTCTACCTGAACAAAAAATGGAAAAATGCCCTCGGATGAGGATAAAAAAAAAAAAAAAAGAATATATGTCTACCATTACATCATAATTGCCTTGCTTAAAATTTCTTAAGTTTCACCCTGGCCAGTTTGGCTCAGCGGTTGGAGCGTCGGCTTGCGGTACAGAGAGACCCGGGTTCGGTTCCCGCTAAGGGCATGTACCTCGGTTGCATATTGTCCCCGGCCCTGGTTGGTCATGCAGGGTGGCAGCCACTCGATGTGTCCCTTCACATCAATGTTTTTCTCTCTCTCTCTCTTCCTCTCTCTCCCTCCCGCTCTATCTGAACAAAAAATGGAAAAATGTCCTCGGGTGAGGATAAAAAAAAAAAAAAAATTCTTAAGTTTCTGTTTAATATTTCCTTAACTAATGAGTAATCTAAAAGTACATTATCAAATTAACATTTCTGACATTTCAAGATTACTACTGTATCTTATTATGTTTCCAGTTATAATTCTTGTTTCCAAGCACGAAAAATTTGCTTTGAGATTCAACAGGAATAAGTGATAGGCTATTTTTTTTTTCTGTTAAAATGTACACAAATTATTCTCTACTTTAAAGCACTGCATTTTGCATGTTGCTTTCTTCTTTCCAGCCCAATGATCATCCTGGGAACCTTGTAAAAAAGTATTCTTAATTACCTTATTATTAGTTCACATTATTGTCTGGGAAATTTCCTCCAAAGTCAGGCAAATGATCAAGAAGGAATTTAATAAAACAGCCAGTTATTTCAATGTTCCTTGCCTTAAAAGTGCTCTCCTTTGAGGGGAAAAGTTCAAGTGTGAGCCAATAGGATACATCATATCAGTGCCAACATCTGGTCAACATCTACCCCTCAATAATACAGAGAAGAAGAGGTCCAAGAAGGCCAAGGGAAGTTAATCCAACACTAGAAATATTGAGACAGAAGCAAAGAGAGCATAGTCCCGAACCTCATGCACTCTACAGCTTTCCAAAGAGATCTTGGCCAGCATGTGAAATCATAAACTCCCCCACTTATTGGTCACAAAAGTTTACTCAAATAATAATGAGAAACAGCAGGTTAAATTTTGTGTATTTGTATATTTCTCTCCAAAATGTAAGCTTGTTGAAAAAAAAAAGCACATATGCACACTTAATGAAAGTAGGTATCATACCCCTTTCTTGTCCAGAAATGGAGGAGCCCCTGCCAGACACTAGTAAGAGGCCTACCGGGCGGTCCATGGGAATGAACACACTGGTGCCAGTGCAGTGCCTGAAATCTGGAATGCTGGAACATCAGCTACCTCCACAAAATAAATCAACAAAGGCAGACCACATTCCTAACTACCACAGTCCGTGCTTTTCCTACTCATCACAGAGGAAACTGCTTCCTACATGTCAGCATGTGCTTATATAATTCTTACCTTAAGGTCTTCCCATAGCTTTACTCTCATTTCTAGACCTTGCTTCTTAACTTCTTTTTCTCTATCTTGTCTCTTCAACAATATTTTATCAAGCCTGTTCATCTTCTGAATAGCATCTTGAAGTTTACAATCTAATTCTTCTAATTCAGGTTCATCTATATTGTGTTGAAAATAGAAATAAGCTTGAAGTTTAGCAAACCGTAAAGCTTTGTTTTGTTTTGTTTTTACTATTTCTTCTTTCATTCAACAAACGTTTATGGCTGATGATAACAAGTAACATTGGGGTCAAGTATCTGGATTTACAAGATGCTTTCACGTGTCTTTTTTCATATAATTATCTAACAAATAGAAATAGACACATCTCTATTTTACATTTGAGATAACTGGGTCCTTTTAAATAGCTAATAAATTATAGCATTGAACCCAGAAGTGGGTCTTGTATGATTTTAAATCCCAAATTCTTTCTCCTTCATTCTGCTATACCTTCTACATTCATAATTAACAAATAAAGAATAAGACAAAGACCTTATCCTAAAGCTGCTTCAGACTAATGGAAAGAGAAGGCAAGTACACAATAGCGACAGTAAAGTAGAGCTTGTCATAAGTGACACAAAACCGTTCCAACATATAGAAACAAATTCAGGAAAGTACTCCACGTAACCAAACACCTTTTATCTATGCCCCTCCCACCTGTTCTATTTTGTTGAAGTACCTAAAAATGTTTTTGAGTTGTGGATGATTGGTAGTAACTTATTTAAAATTAGGGACCCAAAAGAACTTTCATCACTCAAGTTTTAAGTTATGTTTAATGATGTTAATAACAGCAGCTAAAGGGGGTGGTGGGGGAGAGATAAACCACAGAACTTATATGCATGTGTGCATGAACAATGGACATGGACAACAAAGCTGGGGACAGGGCGGGGAGGAGGGAGGAAGGGGGAATGGGGGGGGGAGAAACATGTGTAACAAAAATTAATTAATTAAATTTTAAAAAAGGAAAAATAATAATAATAATAAAATAATAGCAGCTAACATTTATAGAGTTACCTAGTAGGCAGGCACAGTGTTAAGTGCTTTATTTACATGCATTATCTCATTAATCCTCATCATAAACCTGTGAAGTGGTATATTATTGTCCCCATTTTATAAATTTGTAAACTGAGGCTAATTTGTAACTGAGTTACATACATATCCAAGATGATATCACTATTAAATGGCAGTCAGTTTCCACCCAGATCTGTCTGACTCCAGAGCCAAAGCTCTTCACCACCAGGCGATACTTCCTCTGTGAAGCCTGATGAAAGATGATAATCTGGCAATGAGCTCAAATACTAAAGTCTAGTTTAGATCATTAGAAAGATAATTAGAAATGCATATTATGCTAAGAAAGGCCAAATTTTGTGACTTTTGAAAATTCAAAGAGTCCAATTATGTTTTTCTATAATGTATATTACTTCCTCTTTAAGGAGAATAAAATATTTTCAGAGCAAATAAGCTTATCCAAAGAGCATACTGAGCCCTGGCCGGTTTGGCTCAGCGGTTAGAGCGTCGGCCTGCGGTCCGGAGAGACCCGGGTTCGGTTTCCGCTAAGGGCACGTACCTCGGTTGCAGTTTGTCCCCGGCCCTGGTTGGTTGTGCGGGTGGCAGCCACTCGATGTGTCCCTTCACGTCGATGTTTCTCTCTCTCTCCCTTCCTCTCTCTCTCCCTCCCACTCTATCTGTACAAAAAAATGGAAAATATCCTCAGGTGAGGATAAAAAAAAAAAACAAAAAAAAAAAAAAACAAAGAGCATACTGAGCCCTGGCCAGTTTGGCTCAGTAGTTAGAGCATTAGCCCATAGACCAATCTCAGGTTCGATTCCTGGTCCAGGGCACATGCCTAGGTTGCAGGTTCAATCCCTGGCCCCCAATGTGGAAGGCAACCAATCACTGTGCCTCTCTCACATCTCTCTCTTTCCCTTCCTCCTTCTTTCCACTCTAGCTAAAAACCAATGGAAAAAATATCCTCGGGTGAGAATTTTTTTTAAAAGAATAATGATCATATTAAAAAGGAAGCTCAGTAAATCTTAATGCTTATTTACACACTTCAAATGCAACAGCCTCTAGTTCTAATTCCCAACTGCAAATCCTAGCATTCTCAGGCTCCATGTACATAGGTGGTCTATAGAGCAGGCATTTTGAAGTAACTCATGCAGTACTGAAACAATATTAACAATACAATGTAAACTGGGTGATAGCTAATCTCAACTACGATACTTTGTTTCCTGATAACTGTAGTTCTGAATCCCCTGGCCTTACCTGGAAAACTAATCTCATCCCAAACATATTCTAAATGAGTTTTCACAGTATATAAATCTCAGCTTCCCCATAGCCTTAAAAATTACTCAGGACCCAAAGTAGCTTTTGTTTATGTGAGTTATGTCTATTGATAATTACAATATTGGAAATCAAAACTAAAAAATGTTATAAATATTTATATTTATTTTAAAATAATAAACATGTTATATTAATTATATGTTGACATAAATATAATATTTTTAACAAATAACTGTATTTTCCAAAAAAATACTGAGAAGATTAACACTGTTTTAATTTTTCAAAATCTGGCTTAATAGAAGACAGCTGAATTCTCATATTTGCTTCTAAAGTCAATCTATAGCAATCTGTTATTTTAGTTAAAGTATGAAAAATAAGTTGGCCTCACACAGAGATATAGTAGGAAAGAAAAAGAGAAATATATAGCCTTTTCAGATAATGGTGAATATTCTTCTTTGACACTATATCAAAATTCAACAAGGGTTGGTCTCTAAAAGATTAGTTGTAATGCAAAATCTGTAACCATACTAGTGAGCTTTTTATATTTGTTCCATTAAAATCCATGGATCGATCTTTCATGTTAAGTGCATCTTTTACCCTCCCTTGGTCACCTGGAAAACAGTGGTTCACTGGATTATGTAGACTTTCAAATGTTAACATATTTCAGTATACAACACACACACACACACACACACGTTAATATGGCCACCGATTTTTACTAGAAAAGTCTAAGTATTGGGAAGCTGTCAAGATCACATGGACATACATAAGTTTTCTAAAATTCTAACTTTCACTAGAAAGTTCAAATTTTATTATTGACAAAAAATACTGTCAGTTGTCTTCTTTGAGGTAACAGGCTCACTTCATTTTTTTAAAAAAATGAATGCCAGCCCAGCCGGTGTGGCTCAATGGATTTAGCAACATCCCATGGACTGAGAGGTCCCGGTTCGATTCCTGGTCAGCGCATGTGTCCAGGCTTCAAGCTCAATCCCCAATAGGGGTATGCAGGAGGCAGCCAATCAATGTTTCTCTCTCACATTGATGTTTTTATCTCTCTAGCCCTTCCTCTCTCTAAAACAGCAATGGAAAACATATATTTTTTAAATGAATGCCAAATACCCAAGTCTGAAAGAGAATAGTTTTTGTCAGTCATTCTTTCAAGTAAGAATGGTGTTCCATTTAAAAAGTGGCCACTTCAACTCTCAACTTAAACTATCACACAAGTACTTTTCCTCTACACAATCTTCACATTTTGTATACAGCAGAATTGTTTTATATGTGCCTCCCATTCTACCACACAGGATATTTTAAAAGTTTGTATTCAAAGGTAAAGATGTAATAAAATTATTAATTTCTATTGCTCCGAAGACATTCTTTTTTTTATCCTCACCTGAGGACATTTTTTTCCATTTTTTGTTCAGATAGAGTGGGAGGGGGAGAGAGAGAGAGAGAGAAACAACAATGTGAAAGGGACACATCGAGTGGCTGCCACCCACACGACCAACCAGGGCCAGGGACAAACTGCAACCGAGGTACGCACCCTTTGCGGGAATCGAACCCGGGTCTCTCTGGACCACAGGCCGACGCTCTAACCGCTAAGCCAAACCAGCCAGGGCTACTCCGAAGACATTCTTGAGTGACACTGGATATTCTTTTTTCTGCCAGTGCCTGGTCATGAAGAATACAATGACTAATAGTGCAATTTGATGCCATTGCCTTGGATCATGCTAAAGCACCAGCAGTTTTGCCCGCACTGCTTCTGTACCATCAGTGCAAATGTCCATTCAGGGGGCAAGAAGGCAAATAGATATTTTCAGTATTGTGATAAACTTTATAACTGATATATGATGTCAGTATTATAATGAAAGTAGCTTTTACTTTGCAGAGCCCCCAAAAGGGTCTCAGAGACCCCCTGAGTGCTGTAGACCACATTTTAAGAACTGCTATCTAATCACTGTGACCAGTATTAATAACCATAAAAAAGGAGTCTTTTAAAATCCAAAAGTTACTAAGATCAAATGGGATTATCCCTAAAAAAGTATATATTTTATTGTGTAATTTTAGTCATCAAAAAAATCAATAACTCATGTAATAAAATGCAGAAATACTTCCACCTTGATTAATGTAAAATGACCGCAATAACAATTTTATTAAATGATGTATTATTTTTCTAAGTGTACTTAAGGACCCTTAATATTCTTCTAAATAACTGATGAGTGTTCACAAAAAAATAACTCATTTTTTAATTATTTCTACTTAGCTGATAAAAACATATCTAATTCTAATATTTTAACATTTGTAGTTATCATTAGCAAATCACCTACCTGAACATTTAGAGATTGTCTGATGTTGAACAAAGTTCAAATCTTCATCTGACCCCTCTTCAGCCAGGTTTATATTCTCAGAGTAGTTTTCCCCTTTATCATCTTTACTGTTTCTACTCCCCTCTGTATTACTGCTTTCTGAGAGGCCCTCTTTATCAGAGTTCAACTTGATTGCAGTATCAATCTAAAAATTATTTTTAAAGAAATAATGCATTGTTTTAAACTTCAAATTTCTAGACTATTTTAGATAATGGAAGTATATGTGAGGACACACACTAGCATTAAAGTATTCTAAGAACATAACACTTCTTTTTTCAATCCTCATCCAAGGATATTTTTACCATTTATCATCATACAGAGTGGGAGGAAGAAAGAAAGAGGAAGAGAGAGAGAAACACATCAACTGGTTGCCTCCCACATGACCCGACCAGGGCTAGGGATGAACCGCAACAAGGTACATGCCCTTGACCAGAATCGAATCTATGACTCATTGGTCCACGGGCTGACGCTCTAACCACTGAGCCAAACTGGCCAATGCAGAAAATAACACTTTTTAATTAAATGCAATTTAATTACACAATTATATTAAATAACAATCTACACAAAGGAAATATGCACCATTCTCTAGCAATTTCTAACAATAATGGAGAAAAGTTAGGAATCAGTCCTGAAGAAACTGCTCTCTGCAAGGCTCTAGGGATGAGACATGAGGGTCCCTTTCCCTGTGCTTACACTCAGATGAAGAGTCAAAGGTCTAGAGCTGTGCTGTCCAATATTATATAATGGGCACATGTGGCTATTGAATAGCTGAAAAGTAAATAGTCTGGCCCTGGCCAGTGTGGCTCAGTGGACAGAGTACTGGCCTGCACATCAATGGGTTGCGGGTTCAATTTCCAATCAAGGGCATGTACCTGGGTTACAGGTTCCATCCCCAGCCCCCAGGATGCATGCGGGAGGCAACCAATCGATGTGTTTCTCTCCAATAGATGTTTCTCTCCCCCCTTCCTCCCTCCCTTCCTACCTTTCTCTCTCTCTAAAAATCAATGGAAAAAATATTCTTGGGTGAGGATTAACAAAAAAAGAAAAGAAAAGAAATGTGAATAGTCTGAATTGAGATGTACTTCTAATGAAATTCTTCAAGTCAGAACTATGTGCTTTGGTGATTATTTTTATGCTATTCACAGTTTTTCTATTTCATCATGGTTTCTCTTTCCATTTTAGTAGAGTTCATTTTGAAAACACCACTTTGGTGCAGCTGTGTTTTCCTGAGAGAGAACAAGTAAAGACATCCATGGCTGAGTCAGGAGAAAACAGGGATCATGGGGCACGTGGCAGTGAGCATCACAGAGCAAATGAACACAGCCCAAGGGAGAGTCACAGCTTCAGGGAGAGAGAGCCCGCCACTTTCCTCTCTTATGCTTGGAGAGAGAGCCACTTCTGAGAGGACTACCTTTTCCCTCCCAGTGGGAGGAATGTCTGCTCCAGCCCCTCGGGGCTCCGTCCTTAGAGGGTTTCATGGTCTCTCTGCACCCATGTAATCAATCTCCCCTACTGTAATCTGTGCCCCTTGTGAATCTCCAAGGCAGAAGTTTGTGGTGCTGTGAATTAAACTGCCAGGGACACAGGACTGCGGGAGCATCTCTGTTCGCCTGAACTAGTACGTAAATCCCAGCGGAACTGAGCTGAGTCAGTGGATAATAATTACAGCCACCATTTACTGAGGAATCACTAACAGCCATGTCCGGTGCTGAGTACTTTACATACACGGCCTCCTTCACTCTGCACAATGACCTATGGTAAAGGCACTGCCATCTGATTTCACAGAGAAGAAGAAAGATCCAGTATAGGATGAAACTAGTGAAGGCCCAATTTATAAACAAACAAAACAATGCCTACTTTATGTAACCTCAGAGGTGTTAAAGAAGGTTCCCTGTTCAAAAACATGCTCTGTCAAGGGCTAGGTAAAACCTGAAATCCCATACTATCCTGTTCATCCTTCTGGCTCTACGGTTCTGTGAAAATGCTGAAATTGCTGGGGGAGGGCACGTGAGCCTTGTCGGTTTTGCATATCATGGCAGAAATGAATTTAGCCAATCTTACCTGAGAATGGAATTTTATTTTATTTTATTTTATTTTAAACTCATCTTTATTGTTGAATGTATTACAGATGTTTCTCCCTTTTTTCTCCATTGACCCCCTCTTCCCCATTCCTGCCCCCTCCTGCCTTCCCCACACTATTGTCTGTGTCCTTTGGTTGTGCATATATGCATAGAAATTCTTTGGTTTATCTCATCCCATTCTCCCTTCCCCTTTCCCTTTGAGGTTCATCAGTCTAACAACCAATTTGTACTTCTTAATTCCTTCATCTTTTTCACCCACCCTCCCAGCCCCCACCCATCTGGCAAGCAACAAAAAGTTCTCTGGATCTATGAGTCTGTTTCTGTTCTGCTTGCTCATTGTGTTTGTGGATTCAATTGTTGATAGATATGTATTAATTGCCATTTTATTGTTCATATTTTTGTTCTTCTTTGCCTTCAAGAAGACCCTTCAACATTTCATATAATACTGGTTTGGTGGTAATGAATTCCTTTAGCTTTTTCTTGTCTGGGAAACTCTTGATATGGCCATCTGAGGAACTCAGTGAGAAAGAACATCAACAACATAAAAAAGGGCCAGTCAGAAATTAAGGATGCACTAAAATAAAGAATAATTTACAGGAAATCAATGGTAGAGTAGGTAAAGCCAAGAAGCTAAACATCAATTTGGAATATAAGGAAGCAGAAAACACCCAACTAGAACAGCAAAAAGAATCCAAAAAAAATTAGGATAGTGTAAGGAGCCTCTGGGACAACTTCAAGTGTGCCAACATTCACATCATAGGGGTGCTGAAGGAGAAGAGAGAGAGCAAGAAATTGAAAAACTATTTGAAACAATAATGACAGAAAACTTCCCTAATGTGGTGAAGGAAACAGACATACAAGTTCTGGAAGCACAGAGAGTCCCAAACAAGTGGAACTCAAGGAGGTTCACACCAAGACACAGCATCATCAAAATGCCAAAGGTTAGCCCTGGCCGGTTTGGCTCAGAGGTTAGAGCATCGGCCTGCGGTCCAGAGAGTTTGGTTCCTGCTAAGGGCACGTACCTTGGTTGCAGTTTGTCCCCGGTCCTGGTTGGGTCGTGCGGGAGGCAGCCACTTGATGTGTTCCTTTCACATCGATGTTTCTCTCTCTCTTCCTCTCTCTCCCTCCCACTCTATCTGAACAAAAAAATGGAAAAATGTCCTTGGGTGGGGATAAAAAAAAAAAATGCCAAAGGTTAAATACAAAGAGAGAATCTTAAAAGCAGCAAGAGAAAAGCAGTTCGTTACCTACAAAGGAGCTGCCATAAGACTGTCAGCTGATTTCTCAAAAGAAACTTTGCAGACCGGAAAGGAGTGGCAAGAGATATTCAAGGTGATGAAAAGCAGTGACCTACAACCCAGATTACTCTGTCCTGCAAAGCTGTCATTTAGAATCAATGGCCATATCAAGAGTTTCCCAGACAAGAAAAAGCTAAAGGAGAATGGAATTTCATACAGAGGACTACAGAATATACAAAAGAGAGCTAGATATTAGCAGTATGCTCAGATAGCACACTTCGGGGTACACAAAGACTTTTCACAGGTATAATCCTATATGATCCTAACTCTTGGAATGAGCAGGAAGTAATAAGGCAAAAAGATGAAAATGAAGAACAAAAGGTAAACTTTGCCCATTTCACAGTTTTACCCATAGTTCCCCACTTTTCTTCCCCAACCCATTCACTGCCTGCCGGCCTCTCTGTTCCTAACACTCCTGATCTTCTACCCTGTGGCCTATGTATACGATTTTCGTATCTTCTTCCTTCTCAAAGCCACATTCCACCTCCATTATTCATTGCCCCATGTCCCCCACCCCACACCTGCTAGTCCCAGGAAAGGTAAATTCCCTATAGAAACCTCCCTAAAAATTAGACTCCCTACCTGAAACATGTGGGATGTTTAAACAAATTACAACTATAAGCTCTTTTAAGAATATTCAGCCCTGGCCAGTTTGGCTCAGTGATTAGAGCGTCGGCCCACAGACCGGAGAGTCCCGGGTTCGGTTCCCACTAAGGGCACGTACCTCAGTTGCAGTTTGTCCATACCCCAGTTGGGGTCATGTGGGTGGCAACCACTCCATGCGTCTCTCTCACATCGATGTTTCTCTCTCTCTCTTCCCCTCTCTCTCCCTCCTGCTCTATCTGAAGATAAATGCAAAAATGTCCTCAGGTGAGGATTAGATAAATAAATAAATAAAATTTTTAAATTCATAAGCAACAATAAGCCAAAAATTTTAGAATGAGAAATCTATTGTTACTAAAGAAATTTCATTAAAAATCTAGCATATTAAACTCATTGTCTGTCATATAGAAAATTTTGATATCAATAAAAGTCAAATTTGATCAATAACACTAATCAAAATTCCAGGATTTATTATTCAAACACTGTAAAGTTTCACAGACACTGAATCACTTACAATCAGCAGTCTGTACTATATCTATGGCTTTCTTCCCCAACCTACGACAAATCTTACTTATTTTCCATGAACTTAAGACAAATCACAACTTTTAAGAGGCTTTCTTTTTTATATAATTATCAGTGTCCTTGTTGACCAATATATGTGCTAGAGTTTAAACTGTAGCTTAGTGGGTTCAAATAAAATCTTACTTGAAGTGATCACTGATATTTTTCTTTTAAGTAAGTCTTGAACAAAGTAATATTAATGTATGTATTAAAACCAGCATGTCAATATTGTGAAGTTGCTGTTTTACCAAAAAATCATCACCCAGGAATATAAAAGTAGAAATACTAATTCTATGCTACTCTAACTTTTATCAGGTATTTGTATATTATCCTACCTAAAGAGGGAAAATCTTCATTCTAAATGTATTGAACACATATTTTGTGAATACTTCCTATGTGCCACGCTTTATGTTGAATTCTGTGAAGAACATAGAAAGGACTGACCAATTGAGTTAAAGAGTTGAAACCAGCCCTAGGCAGGTGGCTCACTTGGTTGAAGCGCCATCCCATATACCAAAAAGGTCTTGTGTTTGATTCCCAGTAAGGGCACATGCCTTGGTTTTGAGTTCAATCCCCTGTGGGGGTGCACAAGAGGCAACTGA